ATTATTGTTGAGTTCCAACTGTAATGAGTAAGCCTAAAAGGCTGGAATCTGCGTCAGATTCAGTCCAAACACTTTGTCTGAAAGGTCGCAGGACCAAACAATATCAATAATACCGGCAGAACCATTAACTCATCGATATTGAAATAATTTATGTATTCTGTCTGTTATTCATAATCAAGTAGTATGTGGTGGTATTTCAATTGGTGGAAGTACAAGTACATGTACATGTAGGTCCATTGGGTAAATTGTCCAGCACAATGTTATTAATAATAATTGATTTCGAAGGGGTGGAACCTTGAGATCACAATAAATATAATGGTATACAAGTTAGGGTTAGTAACACTCAGTATTCTTAATACAACCTGTAGAATCCTAACAACACTAAGAAAACAACAATACCCAGTGGTAGGGTGCCCCGTACAGCAAAAATGTTCCCTACAGAAAGTTGAAATTGACACGGCGAATGTGCATGCTCCAGTGGCTTGTCTTGAAGTGATTTCTGGCTAATCACGCAGTGCAATAACAAGAATCTATAAATAGCCATCACACGTGTATCAACTATTACAGTCGTAAAAAATCTACTGTTGACAATTCTGAATAGCAGTAATATTTAGCATTTTGGTTATTACAGCAGCTTTAGAAATTACGTTTGTTTTATTTTTGAAATTGCTTTATCATTAACTATACAGTTAGGAGCGGCATCTTTTGGTTTAGTACAAATATTTGTACTATATAGGGCAATTCCAGCGTTACTCACGTTACATTTAAAGAACCCCATCCATATTGAGATTAAGACTACAAACAACAATCTACATTGATATGTTAAATATTGTGTATGGGCATCCATCAATGATGGAAGGAAATAATAAGATAGAATGTGAACAAAAATGAAATAATTTTTTTGGGTGACATCTGAAAAACATGGTGTTACTCACGTTACATGAAATGGACACCAAAATTTTGATGTTTTGTTTGCACATAAATATTACCTTCAAGTCTAATCTCTTATTTATATTAAGTATTTATTGCAATAGGTATGGATATTATGAAGTTATTTCTTTGCAATAAAGTATGAATATATGAAAATGATCTGATTTTTTTAATGAAGTGTGTGGAAAATGTTGTTACTCACGTTACGTTACTCACGTTACATTCATATTGTAAAATCAAAACTAAAGAATACTTATAAATAAAACTTTATAAGTGACGACATGTTTCAAGATAAGTTCAAATAAATCAAACCACAGATAATACTATTTATTAGTAGTACTTTAAGATACATTATGGGAGATAAGATAAGGAGATGGCAGTTCTCGCTATAATAGTTAAAAACTAGATAGTGTAAAGGTAATTTGCTGAAAATTTCAGTCAAATTGATCCACTATGAGCTGAGAAAGAAGCCGGTGAAATTTTTGCATAGTCTCGGTTATCATTACTAAAATCATTAATATAAACAGCATAGTCTCGATTATCCGGTTTTTCTGATTTAATTATCTTTGGCCGTTAGCGGCATATAGGAATCTAATCCGGCCTACATCGAAGGCTAGCCTTGACATCGAGAGTTTATTATGGTCTGGATAAGTTAATTAATGTCTAATTGATAATTTAGATAACATTTCAGGCCTAAAGAAAGACTTGTAATAAGCAGATTTTGCTCTTGCATAATGCATGTTTAAGTCACTTATTCAACGAAGTGTTGGTAGGTTTACTTAAACAGTGATAAGTTATCTAAAATTTTCGAAATATAAGCTTACAAAAATTTTAATTTCAATTTATTAAAGTATATGTTTAAGTTCATTTAGAATAATAATAATACAGTGTCCACCACGTGACTTTTCGTACAATCAGCAGCAATAATTCGGGAAGTTACGATCCGATATAGTGTGTGTAACAGTGATATATTCAAACTGTTTTTTATATAGCCAAGGATAAAAATTCTTAACTGTAGAGGGACCACAAGCTAAAAACTCGATTTGTCGTATAATCAAGGGCTATAATTTAGGAAAGTTACAATCCGATGTGTGCAATTATCGAAAGGAGCCAAGATCTTTGAGTTATGCATTTCAAATTTCATCAAAATCATTTGAAAATTGTGACCTCTAGAGTACCGGTATCCACAAGCTAAAAACGTGATTTTTCGTACAATCAGAGGTCATAATTCGGGAAGTTACGATCCAATATGCGTGAATATCAAAAGGAACCAAGATCTTTGGGTTATAAACATGCATTTCAAGTTTCATCAAAATCAGATGAAAATTGTGAGCTCTAGAGTGCCCACAAGCTAAAAACGTGATTTTTCGTACAATCAGGGGCCATAATTCGGGAAGTTACAATCCAATATGCACGAATATCAAAAGGAACCAAGATCTTTAGGTTAAAAACATGTAGTTCAAGTTTCATCAAATCAGATGAAAATTGTTACCATAATCCATTAAGTTATGGTCCGATACAAGCCAATATCGAAAGGAACTGAGATTTTTGGGAGATGACCTATATCTCAAGTTTCGTTAAAATTGGATAAAAAATTTGACCTGTAAAGTGTCCAGGGACCATGGTTTGATACGTCCACATCAAAATGTGGGCGTATAAAAATAATTCTAGCTTCAATATATAGAGGTAATGTGTGTTAATCACATCACATATTGCGTTACTCACGTTACATAAATGATTCTGTTACTCACGTTACAAATTTGTAGGTGCCATTATATGGAGAATAAATGACATTTTACATTGAATCATTTTATTTTAAGTACATGGTCAATAGTAGATATTCTATAGAAAATATGGCTGACGTGACCATAAAAAAAATTCAACCATCATTGTTTTTCCATTTTTTGTGTTACTCACGTTACGAGTGCCATGTACTTCGTATTATATACTATAAAACTGACTCATTTGAATATCAACATTTGTTGTTATTATTTTCAATAAGGAGATGATTTACAGTTTCTGATTTCAGAAAAAAATTATTTAAATTAGTAATTAGGAACTTTTAAATCAAAAACATTATATAGCTACAAATCAGTTAATGATATTACTATATATGTCAAGGTAAATAATAATAGTGCTATATAAAAAGTTCACTAGAATTTTTACAATTTCTTTACAATTCCAAACCCTTAAGAATATATAGACCAGACAAACATAAAAAAATGGTTCTAATTGCTGTTTCATTTTTTACTAACCATGTCCACATTTGCATGGAATTGCCCAATAATATCTATGAAACACTCGTGTTAGGCAAGAACATGATACTAGCAGTAGTTTCATTTTACTTTTACAAGGTTATTTAAACAATTGTTGAGTTGCCTAACGTGCATGTTTCTAAATTCAATTTCTTGTTCCAGCTTTCTGTTAACAATGTTTCGTAAAAAAGTAGTCTTGATTATCCCGGCTTGTCAATCATACATAGAATAGTTGGTAGACTGGTTAAGTGAGACCAATTTCAAAACAAGGGCATGTAACCCATTTTTAATCAAAAGTGCCCGGAAGTTATGGCCGACACTCGTAACCATATTTCAGTCTATTATTAATTTATGGATGGTTAAACTCATAGCTTATTAAAGTAGCTAAGTCTTTAATTCAATCGAGTCAATATCATCCAAAGTCTTCGACATTGAAAATACAAATCATTTGTCAATTTAAATCAACATTGACGTTGTGATCGTACAAGGAAAAGATGGGCTTCTGATATCCAATATTACAGACAAAATAAACATTTTACCATTGGTACACGAATTGTGTACCATAATGTGTCTCAGCCCCATCTGTAACAAGGGACTCGAAGAACAGGGCTAGACTAGACATATTCCACAAGTCATGTCAAACGGTGACATCATATTCTTATTATGGAGAGCATGCGCAATAAATACTATCAGTGTAGACTGGAATAACCAGATGCTAGTGATTACCATTCGATCAAGACTTCTGGAGTATTTTCGCCGAACATAACTGATTAGAAATTGAGTAAAAACAGAAACGATTGAATGTAAATCAGTTTATATACCTTCATATTACATTATTATATGTGTTGCGACTCCTTTTGTATCAATTTCTAGATCCCAAATATTAGCGATTTAGCTTCTTTAAAGTAGCTAAGTCTCTAACTCAATATCATCCAAAATCTTCAACATTGAAAACACGATTTATTTGTCAAATTAAATCAACATTCATGTTGTGATCTTACCGGGAAAAGATGGGCTTTTGATATCCAATACATTACATGTATTTAAGACAAAAAAAACCTTTTACCATTGGTATACGAATCGTGTACCATAATGCGCTTCAGCCCCAGTTGCATCAAGAGACTCGAGGGACAAGGCTAGACACATTGCACCAAATCAAACGGCATATGTAGACCAGAATAACCAGACGCTAGAAATTTGCACTCGCTTGAGACTGCTGGCTTATTTCGCTGAACACAACTGATTTGAAATTGGAGTAAAAACGGAAACCATTGGATGTAAATCAGTTTATATACATTCATATTACAGTATTATATGCGTTGGGACCCACTTTTGTCAATGTCTAGGCCCCAAATGTTAGCGATTTAGCTCCTAAGTCCAACATGTAATTGTCAAGATATTTGGAGATATTTATTTATGGTGGGGCACCCTACCACCAGTGGCAGTGGTGAGTGGAACAAAAATTGATAGTGATGATTGTAACAGTTGTTGATGTGTGAAAATGATTAGACTGTTAAAGACACAAGGAGACGTGGAAAAATAAAAAATGTTATTATTCTCTAGTAATATTCTATCTGTAGAAGGTGTACAACCGGCACAGTGTAATGACCAACACAAAATACTTTTTTTTTTTTAAGTTGCTCGTACAACAAACGCCAAAACGGCAGCCTTTTTTTAAATAGTTTTATGATGATGGAGTAGATTCAGATTGCCATTTTGTCTTGTAAACAAGTCGGGAAATCGAACCATATTTTACATTGTTACTTTGTAACATACACTTTAAAATCGTTAAAAATCATAAAGATAAAAACCTACCTCATACTAGATATCCTAAACGGGAAATGGATATATCAAGCCGTTTATGTTTCTGGCAAATCGCACGCTAGCGAACAATGAAGGTGGAATTCCAAACGACCATGACCCTGTCCGATTACCACTTGCCTGATTTTCTGCTTGGTGTTACGATGATTTCCGTTTTCTTATTCAAATTTAGCACAACGTAATCCCCCAGTGTTGTAGTATCATTAAGAATTAACAGAAATTGTTGAAGCCCCCGAAATACGGCCCCTTGAAAGAGCCTTGGTTATAATCGCGACATGACGGTCTATTTCGACGGGGGATAGACTGCAGAATGCTTGAGAGAATCGAACGGAAACAAATATGAACTACGTCTATGTGAATGTTTCTTTCAAAGTCGTCGATTTGTCAAAATATACCACCCTAATCAGTAGCATCGGTGAACTATGGCCACCATCAGTGGTTACGTACCCATACCACAACCTTATAATAAAATTATTAATGTTATTTACGGTCACCGATTCATTCGACTCCTGCTGAGCCTCACAACGTCATGTGACGTCATTATTTCTATGAAGGCGATGAGGAAACCAACAACCAATCATATTTTACAGAAGTATTACAAGCGTTAACCTTTTATGTATAGTCAAAAATAGCCACGGATATTCATTTTTTAAACTGCGTTTACATTTTATAACAAGACGTTAATAAATAGAAAACATTAAAACAAGGTATTAAATAAACCGCATTTACATTTTATAAATCTATTTTCTCCACATTTGCAGCCCAGCAGAGTGTAGCCGGCGCATAATATTATTATAAGCGGTAGTCTACCGGGAAACAAATATTATGAATAAATATTTACTTCAACTTGTGATGATGTGTAGGCCTAAGTGGTAGACACTAGACATAAAATCAAATTACTAGCCCCCACCCCTACGCGTCAACCTTCCACCCAACCCAGGCTAGGTTATTTAAATTATAAAATAAATTTTTTAAAAAGTTAAATATCCCAGAATATAGTATATACTGAGAACTGACTTCGGATTCGTTTCAGCTATCTACTAATCTAGCCTAACCAAGTCAAACTTTGAATTTGAAATCACACAGAAAGAAACACATAATACAATTGAAATAACCGCGCGACGCGGCGCGACCGATTCGCTGCTCATATAATTTATCGGGCAGTGTAAAATTATCCTCGATTAAAGCGAGAATTTCATATTTTTAAGTTCTATTTTTAAAATGTATTAAAATAAAGCCTTAAAATAGATGGTATCTATAAACAGTCCTACCTTGTTAAAGAATAATCCCATTAATCCTCTATTGCCAGTTGAGAAATTGGCAAAATATCATTTTCAACTTCAAATTCAAACGTTTGAAGATAGCTATTTCATAGGGGGGGGGGGGAATAGAAAAACAAGGGAGGTAATTGTGTTATTATTTCCGGGGTAAATGATTTTTAAGTGTGAGAATGATACCTATGATCGTATAATGGTGAGTTGACAACCTATTGAGCAAAAAACAGAAATAATTATGTTTTGACTTTCTTAGAAAATATGAAATTCTCGCTTGTTAGATAACATATCAAAGGGCGTATACATGTGGCTCTATTCTTTGGATCCTTAAAATAGACGAGAATTGGTCTAAAAGCACATATTAATGTAGCCTATATGTATACATATAAAGTAATCTATAATCAATTTTTATACGTGGACATTGCCGTCGCCCCTGTGTGTGTGGGTGTGTGCGTGTGTCGCCTACAGGCAGCAATAATTCTTAAGTGATCGTCTTGAAATTTTACATACTTATTCCTTATACCCTAAGGATGATTGCTGTTGTTTTTGGTGTATGCCCGACCCCCAGCGACAGAGCCACGCCCATTTTTTGTATTTGTTTGTTTTTCGTCTACAGGCCGCATTTCTTAACATCTTGAAACTTTGCATACTTATTCTTTATACCCTAAGGAACACCCCTATTGTTTGAGGTGCATGCCCAACCCCCAGGGGCATAGCCACGCCCATTTTCGTTTTGTGTGTCAGTGTGTTACAGGCCACAATTCTTAATCGATCGTCTTGAAAACTTTTCATTTTTATTCCTTATACCCTAAGGATGATCCCTATTGTTTTTGGTGCATGCCCGACCCCCAGGGACAGAGACACGTCCATCTTTTCTATGTGTCTCTGTGTGTTGCCTACAGGCCACGATTCTTATTAATGGAGGGGTCGGGACAAGCAGTTGTTGACCTTGGGCTATAAGGAATACATGCATTATCCCAAGTTCCAACGCCTAGCCTTCTTTACCTCTTGTCATATTACAGCCATTTCATATTTCATTCTCTTCATTTTAAAAAGTAGGACTATAGACCGGGAGCCCAGGGGGTCAACCAAGCTGAAAAGTGTATCAATTCTCTCCTATATGGTATCAATGTATGTATATCTGGTATCATCAGAATGTAAGTCTGCCGGGTTTCTGGTGGTGGGTGTGGTATTCCACGCCCTAAATGCCATGATCCCCAACTAGGCTAGATTAGCTCAAAAGTGTACCACACGAAAATCTTACTGCAGTGTACCGTACATCTTCAGGTAATACAAAAACACTCTGACAGACATTTCTAGTGGTGGGGTACCCCTGACAGAGCTATTTAATTGCCAGACATTTGTAGTATACTATAGTAGAGTATCCCTGACAAGAGTTATCTAATTTCCAGACCAAAGCTAGGCTAGATTAGCTGAAATCTGTACCGCCTAAAACAGCTTTGGAGTTGTTCAGTACCACCACAGGGGTCATGAATGACCACTGCCAGACAGTTTGTGCGGTGGGTTACCCCTAACAGACACGCTCCAAAATGCCACGCCCCCAACTAGGCTAGCTTCGCAGGCACTGTCCCCGTGTTCTAAAAAAATAGATTTTTAGCCAGGATGCGTAGGATACCCTAGCACGTATGGAAGAGGCGATAAACTGCGATTGCAAGAAATTGATTTTTGGGTAAAAAACATTTTATGGGGCTAAAAATGCGTTTTTGAAAAATAAAATTGTTCCTACAACCGCAGTTTATCGCATCTTCCATATGTGCTAGGTATTAGTATTCTACGCATCCTGGCACAATTTTTAATTTTTTGGACCACAGGAACAGTGCCGACTAATCTATCCTAGTTGGGGGGCGTGTTATTTTGGGCGTGTCTGTTAGGGGCAACCCACCGCACAAACTGTCTGCTAGTGGTCATTCATAATTCCTGTGGTGGTACTGAAGTGAACAACTCCAAAGCTGTTTTAGGTGGTACAGATTTGAGCTAATCTAGCCTAGCTTTGGTCTGGAAATTAGATAACACTTGTCAGGGATACTCCATCACTACAAATGTCTGGCAATTAAATAGCTCTGTCAGGGGTACCCCACCACTAGAAATGTCTGTCAGAGTGTTTTTGTAATACCCGAAGATGTACGGTACATTGCTGTGCGATTTTCATGTGGTACACTTTTGAGCTAATCTATAGCCTAGTTGGGGATCGTGGCATTTTGGGCGTGGAATACCACACCCACCACCAGAAACCCGGCAGACTTACATTCTGATGATACCAGATATACATACATTGATACCATATAGGAGAAAATTGGTACACTTTTCAGCTAGGTTACCCCCCCTGGGCTCCTGCTCTACTACCATATCAATCAAATCAGGAATGTGGAGGTATATTGCAGCGTTAGCGATGCTCTAGTTTAACAAAATTATTGTAAATTCTAATCATAATTGGCGAAATACACGAACAGTCCAGACTGAACGACAGTCGTTTCAACACGGTTTTTTTATTATTATTTTGTCGTTTGTGAATCACTTCCGCATTGTCTTGATACGTTTTTCTTTTGTTTTATTACAAATGGCGCCAGAAACCATAGAAACGAAACGTGTACTGGTTATAAAATGAATGAAATGGACCAATATGGAATTCTAATTTCGAATATGAAAAATATTGAGTTAGACAGGGGCGGATCTAGGAATTTTGAAAAGGGGGGGCGCCGCAAAATGAGGGCACTGACCGCGGAGACGGGGCACGCCGTTGAGAAGGGATTCTTTTTTTTTTTTAGGAGGTGGGGGCGGGGTCCCCCAAGAAAATTATCCGTCATTTCCTTGCATCTGTAGCCATTCAAAGAGCTATTTGACTGATATTTTCGTCTAAGTAAACGTTCGGAAATCGTTGAAAAAGAGCCTTAAAATCGAGCAAAAAAGCCAGTTGAACACGCGACTCGAAAATTGTCAAGGCGAGCGAGGCATTATGATGGGAAAAAAGACGAATCTATTCCCTAGCCACTTCACTATTTAAGCCTTGTAACTTGTACGTTGTACTGTCCACACATGAAACAATGCTACATCAAGTTGCACTCATGCGCGTCGGTGATGGGCATGGGTGTATACGCTGCCGATTCCACAAGATGTCTGTCTATAGTCACTCTATAGGATTAGGGCACCGTCAGCTAAACAACAAGAATTCGTTTGCAAGTGGAAGCATTAATTAGACCAGACTGGTGTGTTTGAATCGATGGTTTGAGTCATTTGGGATCCCTGCAACGGGTTGGGAACGGACATACATAGGCGTACGGGCTCGATGACAGGTGGGGGGGGGGGGCAGAACCCGACATTTCTGGTTTACAGACAGCAGCGCCGGTCTTCCTCGAGAGGCGAAGAAGCCCCCTCTAAAGAAAATTTTGGAATATTTGACGGCTGCAAACACGTTTTCCTGCTATTTCAGCCCGTGAATAAAGCAACTTCAAAGTGGTCTAATATAGCCTAATTAAGGTGGCTGACTCAAATTCCAATCAACCAATCAATCGTTTACATTCCACGAAAACCTGACCGTTGGGAGAAAATTTTGAAAATTTAACTACCGCAAACGCGTTTTCCTGCTATTCCAGACTGTAAATATACAGCAACTTCAATTTGGTATAATATAGCCTACCTGGCTGACCCTAATTCCAAACAACCAATCAATCGTCGCGGGGTATGGGGCCCTCCCGGAGAAAAGTTCGAAAATTAAACCACCGCAAATGCGTTTTCTGCTATTCTAGCCCGTGTAAGCAACTCCAAAAGTATCCAATGGTTTTGTAACGTAAATCCCATTCTGAATTTCAACCATCCAACCATCCAATCAGACTGTTGCAGCTGCATTCACATATAAAAATCGATGCCCGAAAAATAAAATGTCGCACAAAGTAGAGTGGCTCCAGACAAAATGTTTTAATCCATAGTCAACTCAGTAGAAATTCGTGGTATTCAATTAAAAGAAAAGTAAAATTAGTGTTTTATTAGGGCTCGATGACAGTTAGGGAAGCAAAACTAGAAATGCCCGAAAAAAATTCCGGTTTACAGACAGCGGCGCCGGTTTTCTTCGAGTGGCGAAGAAGCGGAGCTGGCCTTGTATGGACCCCCGCAAGAAAATTTT